CGTATGGTTTTAGACGCAGTCAATTCACCGATGGTATCCGCAATATCATCTAAAAGTTGTTCACTGTTTAACATCACGATAAAGCCTAAAAGCGTGCTTTCAACAGCATTTAAATCCAGTAATTGCTGTATTAACTTTAGGTTATATTGCAACTCAGCATTGAACTGAAAATTATCTAATAAATTTTGCTGTTGGCTATTTTTATGCAAATGGTTGAGTTCCTGATAAGCAGCTTGCTCATCGAACTTATCTGCAAGTAATGCTTCAGAAAAACCTAACTTTTTTGCAATCCATTGATGACTAAAGCAATGATCAGAAATAAATTCTTTTGCACCGCCTAACTCGACCAAAAATCGAAAAGCCCAAAGTTTTACAATCGGAGAAATTTCAGCAAAATCCGCTACGTCAACCTGATGCATATTTTGTGCAAAAGGTTGATTAATATATTCGTTCATATATTCACTTTTTTCTTTTCATGACTAAGGCTAAACTTTTTTCAATTTGCATTTTCTGCAAGCAAAGTCATCCCTCAGAACATGTATATTCTTTAAAATAAGGTTTGTTTTCGTTTAATTTAAACGATTAAAAATGTATAGGGTCTATTCAAAGCCCAAAATGAGAAATACGTTAAACAACATGATTTTTCTCCCGAATATTGAATTTAACAGCTGATTCAAATCACATTTTAAGCACCCTGCTTAAAATGATGGGTTCAATCAAGATATTATGGTTATCCTGCAACCAGTCAGTGGTTGTAAACAATCTTGTCAAAAAGGCAACGTTACAAGATCAAATAGAGGCAAGTGAAAAGAAAATTAGCTTTGTCATTGTGATTATTTAAGCCATCGTGGCTAAATTTTGGCTTATTTTAAAGTTAAGCATGGATTTTTGCAATTATTTATTCATCACCAACATAGGATTTTGTCAGTTTTCATCAATGAACCAACGAAAAAATCCCGCCGAAGCGGGATTTTGATTGTCTGTTTCAGTTTATTTTGCTTTATCGATAAATAGCTGGGTACTGTATTCAGCCGTTGCTAATTTATTAATTTTCTTTTGACCTGTCTGACCAGCCAAACCTTGGGCATATTTAAGGAAAGCCTCCGCATAGTCTAAGCCAACATTCACACGGCGCTCACCAGTAATGGTTTTCAAGGTGGTATAGTAGTCACCACCATTGGCAAGAAAATCAATCGTGATCGCTTTGTAAGTCTTATTGAGATCAAGATTTTCATATTGCCCAGATGCATTACGTACTTGTATTTGGTTAAGACGCTGGCCTTTGTCTTTGGTAAAGTCAACATTCCAACGCATACCACCAGTATATGGGTAGCTACCCGTATTATTCTGGGCAATCACACCATCTATTGCATCTTCTAAGGTGGCTTTAACTTCAGCACCCGTCAAATCTAAACGCAACAATGTATTCTTGAACGGTAAGACATTATAAATTTTACCAACTGTCACATCCCCTAAAGCAACATCTTCACGGACACCACCACCATTTTGGAATGAGATATCAGCGCCAAAGAAGGTCTTTCCTTGTTGTAAAAACGCTTCAGCAATAATTTGTTGAATATCTCCACCATGTTGATCGACATGGGTATTCTTATTACAGATATCGCCGAGTGTTGAACGATTTACATCACGTTGTGTACCAGGAACTCGACGTGAACAGAGATTATCTGTGGCTTGACCTACGATTTCCTGAGCAAATTTTTTCTTTTGTTCCTGATACGGTTTTAAAACATCCAAGGTCTTTTGTAGAGGTGCTACAACAGTAAATGGAACCTGATCTGTTTTAAATTGCGTCAGTATTGCTTGTTTTTCTGTTTCGGTGACTGCTTTTGCGTCTTTGGCGGTACGGGTAAAGTTATTGCCAATAAGTACATGTGGTGTCCCACTACAGCTTTCGACATTCCCGTTCTTGTCAAACTTCACATTTAAATCACCCACGATATAACTGTATTGCCAAGCTTGCGCAACGCAGACCAATTGACCATCTTTGTTTCTCAGCTGTGTTGGATAAGCACCTTCTGGTGTCATGCCATATTTTTTAAGACTGTCAGGGCCCAATAATGTATGTGAATCACCCCCAATAATCACATCAACATCGGTAAGTGATTTTGCCAACTGTTGGTCTAAGTCGTATCCCACATGGGTTTGAAGAATAATATTTTTAATGCCTTGCGCTTTATATTGATTAATTTCTTTTTGCGCTGTTTCAATTTCATCTGCAAATAATGTATCAGCATTCGGTTGCGAAGAGTTTTTGGTTTTCTTGGCAACCGTTAAACCAATGATTGCAAATTTCACCCCCTCTTTTTCAAACACTTGTGACTTCAAAATACGGTTGGTTTTATACAGTGGTGATGATGCACCAAAACTGACATTGGCCGTTAAAATTTGGGTTTTGTCTTTACAAGAACTTTGATCCAAGAAACCAATAAATTTCTTTAATCCATCATCTTTAGAATCAAACTCATGGTTACCAGGCGTAAATGTATCAAAACAAACGGTGTTCATTGCATCTGCGTCTGCTTTACCATCCGTTAAGTTATAGTACAAATCGCCAGTGATCGCATCACCAGCATGTATTTTTAAAGCATTTTTCTTTTCTACTGCAAGTTGGTTAATTAAGCTTGCAACACGTGCAAATCCACCACTTGCAACACTAAACTCTTCATCCCCTGTCCCCACATTGCTTTTAAATTTAATGCTTTCTTCATCTAAATGTGAATGATGGTCATTAATATGCAAGATATTCAGTTCTAAAGCTTTTGCCTCTACTGGTTTTTCAGTATTTGAATGATCATTATCATCATTACAAGCAACCAACAGCGTAGACAGTACACTCAGCAAAATGATTTGCTTTTTATTATTAATCAACATGATATTTCCAACAAGCAATAAATATTTATGGCCTAGTATGTTGATCATTTGTTTAATTTTGATGAATAATTAAACATTATTGCTCAGCAACAAGGTTTCATCAGAGCTTGAATATTCAAATTGTTTTGTGAACACCGACAAACACAGCATACCGATACTTTTACCAACAGCTCATTTTATGATTTTTTCTTTAATGTATTTTTTAAATATTGAAGTTTCAAAAAGTTGTATTCAAATTCAGTTGTTTCAAAAATAAAAAACCAATCAAATTTGATTGGTTTTTATAACAAGTTAAACCTTAATCTGCTTGATAAAAAGGTTTATCACCCATCAAAGTGGCTCGATTCATAACACGGTGCTGAGGACGGTAATCATCAACAGCATAGTGGAAGGTACAACGATTATCCCAAAATGCCACATCATTGGCCTGCCATGACCAACGCACTACAAACTCTGGTTTCTGAATATGTTCAAACAACATTTTCAAGACAGCATCGCTTTCTTTGGCTTCGAGTTCATTAATTCGTGTGGTAAAACCCTCACTCACAAATAAAGCTTTACGACCTGTGACAGGATGAGTACGAATCACAGGATGGCTAATCGGAGGATGTTTTTTCTTAGCCTGTTCTAGCTTTTCTAATTCAGCAGGATCACCACCAAAACGATCTACTGGAAATGAACGCGCAATATCATGTGTTGCAGTTAAACCAGACAACATCGCTTGCATCGGTTTGGATAATGCTTCAAACGCCGCTGTTCCACTTGACCAAAGCGTATCTCCACCCCATGCAGGGACTTTTTTTGCACTTAAAATTGCGCCCATTGCTGGTGTTTCAAGAAAAGTCACATCGGTATGCCACAGTGCATTATCCCGTAAATCATTAAATTCCGTATCTAAAACCATGATTTCTGGTTGTTCTGGAATATTGGGGTAAATTGGGTGGATGTGTAACTGACCAAATTGACGCGCCAAAGCTGCATGTTGCTGTGCAGTCATCGGCTGATTTCTGAAAAAGATCACCTGATGTTTCAATAAAGCTGCTTCAATCAAAGCCTTTTGTTCAGGTGTTAAAGGCTGATTGAAATTCACACCTTCAATCAGCGCACCAATCGTTGGATTTAATGGGGTAACTTTAAAAATATTTGAAACAACAGCGTTCATTTCTTCCTCGATCATCTCACGATGTATTAAAGGCAATGCATCATTAAAACGTTAAAACTAAATATGGCGATATGCTATCGAAAAATGTAGCGAAAAATAACTTACTGAGATTGCTTATCCCAAGGGACTAATTTCTTTTGCAAACGACGTAAACCAATTTCCAGAATAAAGGCAATCACAGCGATAATTAAAATCCCGACAATCACAACATCCGTAGCCAAAAGCTGTGAAGATGATTGCACCATAAAGCCTAAACCTTCTGAGGCGCCAACCAACTCTGCTGCCACCAAAGTCGACCATCCCACCCCAAGACCAATACGGATACCGGTTAAAATGCTCGGTAAAGAACTTGGTAAAACCACATGTTTAATAATTTGCATTGGGCTTGCACCCAAAGACTGTGCAGCACGAATTTTGGCTTGGTCGACTGAACGGACACCGGTTGCTGTTGCGATAACAATCGGTGCAAAAATTGCCAGATAAATCAGTAGTACCTTGGACAATTCACCAATACCACACCAAATTACAATCAAAGGTAAATACGCCAGTGGTGGAATCGGACGATAAAACTCAATGATGGGATCTAAAATACCCCGCACAATTTTATTGCGACCAATCGCAATCCCCACTGGAATCGCAGTGATAACCGCAGCAATCAACGCCGTGCCGATACGACCCAAACTTGCGCCAATATGACTCCACAAGCTAATACTCATATAGCCATTGCTGAACAAATCATTGAAACGCTGCAACACGGCGGTTGGTGATGGTAAGAATAAAGCATCAATCCAGCCTAAAGTGGTGACCAGCCACCAAATTGCAATCAAAGTAATGATCGTGATACTACTGATCAAAGTAATATTGACTTCACGTGGAACCTTCACCGCCACAGTCTGAGATTCAACTGTACGAGGGATCAATTTAGGGTCTAATTGTGCTGTCATTACTCCACCTTTTCCACTTGAGCTTGGTCGCTCTGAGCAACATGGTATTGATCCTGATTATTTTGAATGAATACACAACTCAACACATGCTCTCGCATTTCAATAAACTTGGGATCTGATTTAATACTTCGTGCTGGCTCGCCATTGGCATAGCGTTTAGCAAAATCCAACTCCAGCTTTTCCACAATTCGCCCAGGATTTGGTGCAAGAATAATCAGATCTGTTGCCAGAAAAACAGCTTCTTCAATGTCATGGGTAATTAAGAAAGTAGGTTTGGACGTACTCTTCCAAACATCTAATAATAAGCACTGCATTTGTTCACGAATAAACGCATCCAAAGCACCAAAAGGCTCATCCATCAATAATATTTTAGGGTCAGAAGCCAAAGCACGTGCTAAACCGACCCGTTGACGCTGCCCGCCTGAAAGTTCCCAGATATGGCGTTGACCAAAGCCTTCTAAATTCACCAATTTAAGTAATGCTTGTGCACGGGTTTGACGTGTTTTTTTATCAACCCCTGCAAGCTCTAAACCAAAAGCAATATTGTCTTCTACATTTTGCCAAGGCAATAAAACATCATCTTGGAACACCACACCACGGTCTCGGCTAGGTGCAACGATTGCTTCACCATCCAGTTTTAAAGTGCCAGCTTGTGGCTGAGTAAATCCAGCAATCAGATTTAATAAGGTTGTTTTACCACTGCCTGAAGCACCTAATGCAACCATCAGTTGCTCAGAGCCCAGCTGAAATGAAACATCTTTCAGTACCGGTTGTTCAGCACCCGGATACTGTGCTTGTACATGTTCTACAGTCAATACAGCCATGATGAATACTTCCGATCTCTATTTCGATGTTTGAATAAAACGCGTGTTAATAAACTGTTGATAATTTGGAGAAACCTTTCTCACCAGACCTTGTGCTTTTAAAAAGTTCACTGAGTTGACAATATTTTGTGTGGTCCGCCCACCAAGGTATTGAGTGCTTAATTGCGCCTGACGATCTGGATAGGCGGCGCCAGCAAGAAGCGCTGGCACATCTTGAGCATCTACGCCGGTAATTTTGGCAATTTTTTGCACTTCAGCCGAGTTGGCAGTCCAACGACTTTTATTCTGGTTATAAGATTGGTAATAGTTCAGTGTTACTGTTGAAAACTTTGCTAAGACATCAGGATGCTTCTGTACAAAATCTTTACGTGCTACCCAAACTTCAAATGTAGGAGATCCCCATTGCCCAACCTGCCCTGCATCTGTGATGACCTTGCCGGTTTTCTTAATATTGGCAAGTGCAGGTGACCAGACAAAAGCTGCATCTATATCGCCTCTGCGCCATGCTGCATTAATTTCAGCTGGTTTTAGGTTCAACAACCGTATTTGATTGGTTTTAATATTCCAATGCTGCAAAGCCCCCAATAAACTGTAATGGGAAGTCGAAGCAAATGGCGTGGCCACCTTTTTCCCAATCAAGTCCTGAGGACTATTAATTCCTGAGCCATTTCTCACCACTAAGGCTTCCGCACTTTTCAGATCGGTAGAAATTAAAAACACCTCTATGGGCAAATTATTGGCAACAGCTGCCCCTAACGGACTTGAGCCAATCAGTGCGATATCTACAGAACCAGAAGCCAATGCAGTTAAAACCTCTGCACCACTATTAAATAAGCGCCAATCCAGTTTTTCCCCAATCACTTTGTCATACACACCATCAGCCTGTGCAACTTTTGCAGGTTCTATGTTGGTTTGATAACCAATGACGATAGGGCGAGCATTTGCCAAACCACTATAGCTATATAAACTTATAGCTGAGCAAAGCAAAATCAGTTGCTGAAATTTCATGATCAATGTGTGGACTAAAATAAATAAAAAGAGATGGGAATCAGGTTCATGGTACGGTTTTTTTGTATATTATTAAAAATACGTTTTTTAGATTTACTTATACGTTTTATTGATTAACAAAACTTGAAATCTATTTTATTTTTCTAGATCGATCAAAATTAACAAGATTTTAATGGAGCCACTAAACCCACACCAACAATCACAACAATATCAAAATAACATCACAATAATATTTTATTAAGATAAATAAATCACATTAAGTAAGCTATTCAATGGTTTATTCATCGGAAATAGAGTAAAAACTCTATTTTTATTCAAATAAAATTACTATATTTAGTATAAATAAAACGCGTTTTAAGTATAAGGATATAACATGAAAAAGGAATTTCTTGCCCTTACTACAATCGTATTATTAGGAATATCAAGTACCTCTCAAGCAAAACAAGAAATCTGTGTTTTTGATTTATTAGGGAAAGCTGGTGAATCCTATAAAATGATGGAAGAGTGGGCACTCGCTGCAAAAACATGGAATACCGATGTCCAGCTCATTGCTTACCAAAATGAAGAGCTTGCTGATAAAGATTTTAAAAATGGTAAATGTGATGCTGCCTATATCACCACAATGCGTGCACGCCAATACAATAAATTCGCAGGATCTATTGATGCGTTGGGTGGTGTTCCAACCAATGCCATTGCGCTCAAAGCGATTACCTTTGTCTTGGATAAACGTAATGTAAAACGCTTAAAAACCAAGATAGACAATGAAGAAATAGAAATTGGTGGAATCGGTCAAATTGGCCCTGCCTATATCTTTGTGAATGATCGAGCCATCAATACCATTGAAAAAGGTAAAGGTAAAAAATTTGCGGTATTGGCGTATGACAAAGCACAGATTGCAATGGTTGAACGTGTTGGAGCAATTCCTGTTCCATCCGATATTTCCAATTTTATTAAGAAGTTTAATACAGGTGAAGTACCAATGGTGGGGGCACCAGCCTATGCATTTAAACCTTTAGAAATGGAAAAAGGGCTTGGCTCTAAAGGTGCATTGATCAATTTTCCAGTGCTTAATGTTACTGCTGATCTGGTGTTTAGATCTCAAAAATTCCCAGCTACTTTTGGCAATGATTCTAGAACCTGGTTTATCAAGCAACTTCCGCGTCAATTCAGTATGGTCAAACGTTTAGAAGAAGGCATTCCTGCTAAATATCGTTTGAATTTAAGTAAAGTAGATACTGAAAAATATCAAAAGCTGTTACGAGATGGACGTATGGATTTAACCCGACAAGGTATTTACGATCCGACCATGATGTCAGTGCTTAAACGGGCACGTTGTACTGTAGATCGAACCAATTTTGAATGTTCTTTGGCGGGTGAATAACATCTCTTCAAAAGTTATTGATAAAAAATCAGGCAATGGAGGCATCCATAAATTGCCTGATTTTTTATTTTAAAACTTATTGAGCTGAAGGTTGTTCAACTAAACTTGGGTCATTGGTTGCTTGAGCAGGTTGTGATTGCTGAATCGTCGCATCGCCCTCAACAGCAGTACCTTGTTGAGTCGGATCTACCGTCGAAGTTTGTGCCGATTGTTGTTGATCTGCAGAACTCATTGGTGCTGATTGGGTCGTTTCAGGTGCTTGTGTTGTTTCACTTGATGTACACGCCGTACTCATGACCGCAACACCAGCCAATAGCATAAAAATAAGACCTGATTTTTTCATCATAAATTCCTTTATCACTCTATCAAAAAACGGCAACACAGGACTGCGTTGTCGTGCTGACTATGATTGCTATTTTTTCTGCAAACTTCGTTGAAGCTTGGTTAGACTTTTAAGGTATTGCCGTATAAGTTATGCAAAGTTTATTAAATCAATGATTTAGATTGACCTATTTTATTTTTCATTATACTTGTTTCATTTCGCTGGATTTTTTGATGGGATTGAATGCGATTAGGCAAAAGTCTATCTAATAAAAGATATACTTTTACCATAAAAGTTTCGCATTACTTACATTGTTAATGGTTTTTACAAGACAAAAAAAAGCTTACCCAAGAAGATTGGATAAGCGATGAAAACATTGTTCAAACTAAAAAAAGAAACTACAGCCATAGAATCTATGAAGCATGATAATTAAATTATTGCTTTTTCGCAAAGCCTTATTTTCAATAAGTTTAATCGGTTTTACATGTGAGTTAAGTATTTTGATCTATTCATTCAATTTTAATTTTTGAATTTACTCATCATTTTTAAGCAATAACCGCATCAATTCCTCATAAATTTAAATTTTTAATCTAAAAAAATAATCATTGATTTGATGATTATTCCAACAAAAATATCTTTAAATTTTAAGATTTCTCTGTTAGATCCGCTTTTTTCACTGAATTTCATTAAATAATGTCTAAAACTGCTTGAATTTTAGCGGCTCGCCCACATTTCTTATTCATTAATGAATTAAACGATCATGGCAGTTCAAAAATGAACACAGTGCAAAACTGCTGCCGATAAGGACTGTACATGTTTAAGAACCCATTTAAACGGAGTAAATCAATGGCAACTGAGCAGAATCAAGAAGCCCAAGATATTCAAAACGAGCAAGCCGAACAGCAAACTCAGGCTGAAAATGAACAGGTTGAAGTTACCGTTGAAGCTTTACAGGCTCAAATCAGTCATCTTGAAGAGAGCTTAAAACTCGAAAAAGCACGTACTGCAAATGCAGTTTATGAAGCACAAAAAAGTGTAGAACGTATTCAACGTGATGCTGAAAAGCATAAAGACATTGTGTTAGAAAAGTTTGCGAAAGAATTATTAAATTCTGTCGACAACCTTGAACGTGCAATTCTTGCAGGTGGTGATGAAGAAACACCTGTACTCGAAGGCGTAAAACTGACTTTGAAATCACTTCTCACCACTTTAGAAAAATTCGGTGTTGTTGAAGCAGACACAACCAATGGTTTTAACGCTGACTTACATCAAGCTGTCGGGATCGACCCAAATGCACAAGCCAACCAAATTGGCACAGTTTTGCAAAAAGGCTACACCTTAAATGGTCGACTACTTCGCCCTGCAATGGTGATGGTTGGTCAATAAGCGTAATAAATAGGAGCTTTTTAAAAATATTTTCATGAATTTTCACAAATCATGACTTGAAAATTTTTGAATGGCTCTCATATCGGATAACAAGAAAATCCCTTTTAACTCCCCTTTGCAAAAAGAGGAAACCAGGGATTCAAAAGAATTTAGAGGAATTTGATTTATGGCTAAAATTATTGGTATTGACTTAGGTACAACGAATTCATGTGTTGCTGTACTTGAAGGCGATAAAGTTAAAGTGATTGAAAATGCTGAAGGTACCCGTACAACACCTTCTATCGTTGCATATAAAGATGGCGAAATTCTTGTGGGTCAATCTGCTAAACGTCAAGCAGTGACCAACCCTAAGAATACATTATTCGCAATCAAGCGTTTAATTGGTCGTAAGTATCAAGACCAAGCAGTACAAAAAGATATCGGTATTGCACCATTCAAAATCATCAAAGCTGATAATGGTGATGCTTGGGTTGAAGTAAACGACAAAAAACTTGCGCCGCAACAGATCTCTGCAGAAATTTTGAAAAAAATGAAAAAAACTGCGGAAGATTATTTAGGTGAAACAGTAACAGAAGCTGTTATTACAGTTCCTGCTTACTTCAATGATGCACAACGTCAAGCAACAAAAGATGCTGGTCGTATTGCTGGTCTAGAAGTTAAACGTATCATTAACGAACCAACTGCTGCTGCACTTGCGTTCGGTATGGACAAAAAAGAAGGCGACCGTAAAGTTGCTGTATATGACTTAGGTGGTGGTACATTTGACGTATCAATCATTGAAATCGCTGACTTAGATGGCGACCAACAAATCGAAGTATTGTCAACCAATGGTGATACATTCCTTGGTGGTGAAGACTTTGATAATGCATTGATCGACTATTTGGTTGAAGAGTTCAAGAAAGAGCAAAACTTCAACTTGAAACAAGATCCACTTGCATTACAACGTTTAAAAGAAGCAGCTGAAAAAGCTAAAATTGAGCTTTCTTCATCTAATTCGACTGAAATTAACTTGCCATACATCACTGCGGATGCAACTGGTCCTAAACACTTAGTGATGAATGTAACACGTGCCAAACTAGAAGGTTTAGTTGCTGATTTAGTTGCGCGTACAATTGAGCCTTGCCGTATCGCACTTAAAGATGCAGGTCTTTCGACTTCTGACATCTCTGACGTGATCTTGGTTGGTGGTCAATCACGTATGCCAATGGTTCAACAGAAAGTACAAGAGTTCTTTGGTAAAGAACCTCGTAAAGATGTGAACCCGGATGAAGCTGTTGCAATTGGTGCTGCAATTCAAGGTGCGGTATTGTCTGGTGACAAAACTGACGTACTTTTACTTGACGTAACACCATTAACACTTGGTATCGAAACCATGGGTGGCGTATTAACTGCAATTATTGAGAAAAACACCACGATTCCTGCGAAGAAATCTCAAGTGTTTTCTACAGCAGCAGATAACCAACCAGCGGTAGATATTTCAGTTTACCAAGGTGAACGTAAAATGGCTCAACAAAACAAATTGTTGGGTAACTTCCAATTAGGCGACATTCCACCTGCGCCACGTGGTGTGCCACAAATTGAAGTATCGTTCGACATCAATGCTGATGGTATTTTAAAAGTATCAGCAAAAGACAAGAGCACTGGTAAAGAACAATCGATCCAGATCAAAGCAAACTCTGGTTTGTCTGATGCTGAAATCGAAGCAATGATCAAAGATGCTGAAGCAAATGCTGAAGAAGATCGTAAGTTTGAAGAGCTTGCAAAAGCACGTAACGAAGCTGATGCTTTAGTTGCTTCTGCAAACAAAGCTGTGAAAGATCTTGGCGAACAAGTCACTGCTGATGAAAAAACTGCAATTGAAGCAGCAGTTTCTGAGTTAGAAGTGACTGCAAAAGAAAATGATGTTGATGCAATTAAAGCTAAAACTGAAGCTTTACAAAACATCATTATGCCGATCACTCAACGTGCTTATGAAGCAGCTCAAGGTCAAGGCGGCGCTGAAGGCTTCGATCCTAACCAATTCGGTGGTGATGCAGGCCAACAACAGCAAAAAGCTGATGATGGCGTTGTAGATGCTGAATTCACTGAAGTTAAAGATGACAAAAAATAATTTGTCACTTTAATCTTAAAAAACCGCTCAAGAGATTGAGCGGTTTTTTTTATATAATCTATTTTTATCCGTTATGATCTATTTTTATCCGTAAAGCTATGGAATCACTTTTGTTTATCTCTGATATCTCTAAAAAAACTGGACTCTCTATCCATACCCTGCGTTATTATGAACAAATAGGCTTGCTGAAAAATATCCACCGTAATCAATCTGGGCGACGTGTATATACCAAACTTGATCTGGAATGGCTTGAATGGGTAAAACGCTTAAAATCAACAGGCATGCCTCTAGAAAAAATGCAAGATTTTGCCCAATTTCGACTACAAGGAGAGCAAACCTTAAAACAAAGACAAGCTCTTCTTATTGCCCATTCCGTTCAATTAAAACAAGAAATTCAAAGACTCAAGCAAGAACAAAGCATTGTCGACTATAAAATTGAAGTATATGCACAAAAAATGCTTGAGCTAGAGTGAACTCGAGCAGTTAATATTTTTGACTCACAATTTGAGTTAGGAGTAGACAATGTTAAGTTCAGGTTTTTACATCACCGCAGAATTAAAAATTAAAGATAAAGACAGAATCTTAGAAACCCGTGAAGCCTTACAAGCATTATGTAAGCTCACTCTTCAACAAGAACCGGGATGTAGCTTATTTCAACTGCATCAATGCCAACAAGAGCCAACTCGTTTACTACTTTGGGAACGCTTCGACTCGGAACAGGCTTACCATGCCCATTTTAAACAGCCCTATACACAACACTACCTTTCCAAAGATTTAACCGAAGTGGTGCAACATTTCGTCAGTGATATTGTGCTATAAAAAAGCTCGAAAAATCACTCCAGTCATCGAGTGGTTTTTCTTATTGATCAATTGCCAATCTTCACTAAATCTTTTATCTTAATTATCACAATAATAATGAGTCAAATGATGAAAAACTCTCCTGCTGTATCCAATACTGTGTATTACAGCTTGATCATAGCGCAATTTATATTGCCTATCATTGCAGCAGTCATCGATATATACAGTACTGAACCCGAGTTAGAACTTCTGGATAAAACACTTTACCAAGACCCGCAAGCTTGGGAATTGGGAGTGATGTCGATTGCAGGTTTAATCATCCTCATCATCACTTTTGGTTTATGTTTAAAAAAAGAATGGGCAAGAAAAGCTTATCTCTATACATTTTTCCCAATATTTCTGATTTATTTTATGCCCTTTATGCACTGGATTTACATGACCAGTTATGCAGCGATTTTTAACGATCTGGCCTTTGTTTGTTCTGGAATTCTATTGATGATTTTAGTGACTCCATCACTATATCGACCTATTTTTGAACATGATTAATCATGTATAAAACGCTTGCCATCAGCATTGGCTTATATCTCTTTTTAGAGATTCTATGTCATGGTTTTGCATTTTTTGCAGGGAAAATCGTGAGTAAAGCGGATAAACAAAAGCTCAATCATCCTCTGCACCTTGAATTTACACGGCAAACTTTTTATCGCACCATGTTACTGGTCAGCATTGTATTGATGAGCCATTTCTATACTGAAATTGCCTATTTTGAACAGAATGGTTGGATTCGTTTGACATTGAGTATCAGCATTATTTTACTCATTCTGTTTATACTCTGGTGGCTAAATGCTTTTATTCTGCGCCAAGTGGTTTTAAAGCAACAACAACAATCTGTCACTCCGGTATTTAAACAGAAAATCAGCTATATCATGTTGCATCCTTTACAATTCAAAGCTTTATATATCAGCCCTGAATATTTAAAAAGATCTGTTTGGATGAATCGATTACTCTGTGTTTTTGCTTTTATTCTCTTATTTATTGATATCCAAGTCCTGTTTAACGTTTAAATAAACTGATTATGTGAATGAACCTTCCATCGCGATGCCCAAACTCAGCGTTATGATGGTAAATAATCCTTTCATCAACAAAAATAATCCTGCAAATATGCAAATGATCATGATGATTCTTTGCTTTTTGCTCAGGCTTTCACGTATCTGTAAATTGTATAGACTGTCAGGTTGTTTTTGAATGGATAAATGATCGGTGATCGCCTGAGAAATTTTATCTTCGATAGGATTTAATGACGAACCGTCGAGTACCTCTAAACAATAGTGTCCAACATCCAACTCACAATAAAACATTAGCATTGAAGCACGAGAAAAACCATTTTTACTTGCTCTTGCAATACTTGGTGATAGCTTCACAATCTGCTGAAGATCTGTGTTGGTGATTTGTGGATGAATCAATAGCATAGGTGCAAGTTTAAATAATGGACCCTCTTGCCAAATTGCATAGCCACCCTTTTTGCTGATTTTAAAATTTTTAATTTTTTGATTTAAGGCTAAGTCCAGCACTAAACGTGATCGAAATATAAGAAATAGACTGTAGAAAGCCCTTATCAAAAAAGCGATACCAAGGATTAGAGAAATCCAGCCTAAAATCAGCGTTCCATTCATATCATTGTTTTCCACCTAAAGCTGAGTGTTAAAAACATCATCATTTGAAATCAATATTTGTATTGATCACGCAAGCTTTACTTGTTTAAGCATTTGCGATTCCTACATTTTCAGATAAATTATCCACAACAACAATTTTTTTTAAATCAATCATGCGTTTTTGGATTCTACTCTGTGTAATTGTCTTTACTGCTTATTTTGCGATACAGCGCATGATGTATCCGCAATTGAATCATAATTCTGCCATTGATCGTATCACGCATCCTTTAGATACCCGTTTACGTTATCGTATTGGCGAAATAGATCCGCGTTTTCATGTCAGTAAACAGCAAGTACAAAATTTGGCACAACAAGCCACCGATATTTGGCATCTAGGGACCATGAAAAGTCTCTTTGTTTATGATGATCATGCCAAGCTGACGATTAACTTAATTTATGATGAACGCCAAGCGGAATCTAGCGCCAGAAACCAAGAGTTGCGTATTTTGCAAAATACTCAACAATATACACAAAGTGAAAAACAAAAAATTCAGCAACTTCACGCTGAATTAGATCGTACCAATGATGAATTGGATCTGCAAAAAACCAATTATCAAAGTAAAGTTGACCAGTATAATCAGTTGATCAACACCCTTAATCAATCCCATCAAAATTTAGATGCCACAGCAAGATTGCAGTTAGATCAGCAGAAAAATCAACTGATCATCGAGCAGAATCAACTCAAACAACAGTTAGATATTTATAATCAAAAAGTCTATGAATTAAACCGTCAAGTTGGACAGCTCAACGCTGTCAATCAACAATACAATCAATCTGTGGATCACTTTAATAGCCGTTTCCAACCACGCCAATTTGATAAAGGCGTATTCGATGGTAAAACCATTAATATCTATGAATTTGCTTCGGATGCAGACTTGCGTGTCACGATTGCACATGAACTTGGGCATGCTTTGGGCTTAGCACACAATAATGATCCTAAAGCACTCATGTACCCAATGATGAAAGAACAAGATTTGAAAAATTTTAGATTAACCACAGCGGATTTAGCCATGCTAAACTCAAGACAACGATAAGCAAAATTTAGCGATGATTATCAATTTTAAATCCATAATTTATTTATGTATTTAAATCAGTTTTATGCAAAATCATGTTATTGTGAATCCCTGAAGCAATAAATTGAGGAGATGACTGTGAGCTATTATCATATTATTTTAGAAGTAAATGATCATATCAGCACGATTGAGCAAACTCGTGATATTGAAATTTTTGATATTACTGAACTTCAACCTTATCTCCATTCAATTCTGCTGCCTTATTTCAACGAACAAATCATTGAACTAGAAGACGACAATGTCGAGTTTAAAGATGTTCTACACCTTGAAATTAAACAGACCTTATTGCCAATTCAACATTTAATTGAAGAAGAACAAAAACAGTTACCTAGCGATACCGATGTAACCATTACAGCCTATGAAATCTTTAATGATCGTGATCATACGCAGGATGTTACCGCCGTCATTTTAGATGTCCTAGAAGCGGTCAAAATTGATCCTTTCGCAATTGAATAATCCACATAAAAAAAGGTCTGCTTATGCAGACCTTTTAACATTTGGTGAGGGAAAGCTTTGTCACTAATTTCAGAGTAGAAGGAAGCAACGAAATAGCCCTCAGCAACACTATAAATAATTGGCTAAAATATTGTCAATATCTACAGGACGAACTCCTTCATCTACACTAAAAATATGTTCTGCTCGAACTCGTTCAGTGACACGTTGCCCTCTAGCTCGAATATGTAAATCAAATAGATCATAGAGGTTCGGGAAAGTTTTTTCTGTCATGGCATACTGCATCAGCGACATACTGGATAAATGACCAAAAACGGTGTTATCGATACTTGGCGTAGCTGTCATCGCCAAATCTGTCCAAATCACTTCACGCTTTTCTAGGTCAATTATCAGTGGAATGGTAAAACTGCTTTTTGAAGTCACATCAAATTTATGCTGAACCGTGGTTGGTTCATAAATCTGACCTTGTTGTGCATCCTCTCGCATCATAAAACCAGCAAAACAAATAGGTAAATCACAATAATTTTGCTGGGTATAACTATTGATACTCATCATCACATAGCGAACTCCCAGAGATAATGCCTTTGAAATATCAATGTCAATAAATTCAGATGCACCTTGTGGTGCTGAAGTAATATCACCGCTATGCACTGCAAAACTTTCTTTTAAATTATAAAAAGCAATAGTTGCTTTTACTGTATGTTCTGCATCAAAAACCAATGCGGATAAGTCTATATCCACCCTTTCTGAGTCAGTATCTTTCCAATAAATAAAAAACCGAACAGTATTGCCAATATCCAAAGCTAAACGGCTCCCTGCTGCAATGGTTTTCAATGCTTTACTTGCTGCTCGTTGCGCAAAAGGTACACTATAATTTTTCAACTGATCATCCAGATAGCAAGCACCTAATGGTGAGAGTTTACTGAAACGCTGAATAATACTTTGCTCACATAGGGTTGTTATTTGTGTCGTTATGACTGCAGACAAAGGCGCTAAATTATTTTTGATTGCAAATACTTTGGCAGACTGACCTTTTGGGAAAAAGGTTCGATATTTTAAAGTTCGATTTTGCAGAAAATAGTGCTTGATCTGAAACAGCAAAGCGATCGGCACTGCATCTATAACTGTTTTAAATGCATCAAGCAATTGTTGCTGTTGTACAGGAAATTGCTTTAAACAGTGCTGCAGCCTACGCGCAAACTCTCCTGGTCTTTGTTTTAAAAGTTTCACCACATCTTCAAATTGATGGCTTTGTAATGCAATTTCTATCTTTTGGCTGAACCGTTCAGGCTTTTTATTTTCAAAA